ATCAGCGCGAGACTGCACACACACACACACACACACACACACACACACACAGCAGAAATGAGGCGGGAAAAGCTCCGTGTTTCTCACTCCGCAGCTACAGAGTGCTTAAACATCAGACACGATCACCCCTCAGATATTACTGCACACCACATAATCACATAATCACATTATAACACCCTCGAACAGCCCCTCATACTTAACTACTGTGGACATACTCCTGCTTTAAAACCATCTATCTATCTATCTATCTATCTATCTATCTATCTATCTATCTTTGTTTGTTTAAGTTTTATTTTAAAACTGCTACATTAACTCGGTTGTTTTGAACGGATTCTACAACACAATGTGCTGAACACGACAACTAACTTTATTTGTTTGTTTGTTGTAACTCCTGCTCAGCCGTATCTGATCTACATGCTTTAGTAAAGACTGGGTTCAGCTCTCTGCTGTAGAGTTCAGCTGGTTGTTTCCGTGCTGTAGTACTGTAGTGCTGCTGTACTGTAGTCCTGTAGTGCTGCTGTACTGTAGTGCTGTAGTGCTGCTGTATTGTAGTGCTGTAGTACTGTAGTCCTGTAGTGCTGTAGTGCTGCTGTATTGTAGTGCTGTAGTACTGTAGTGCTGCTGTACTGTTGTCCTGTAGTGCTGTAGTACTGTAGTGCTGCTGTACTGTAGTGCTGTAGTGCTGTAGTGCTGCTGTATTGTAGTGCTGTAGTACTGTAGTGCTGCTGTACTGTTGTCCTGTAGTGCTGTAGTACTGTAGTGCTGCTGTACTGTAGTGCTGTAGTGCTGTAGTGCTGCTGTACTGTAGTGCTGTAGTGCTGCTGTACTGTAGTGCTGTAGTGCTGCTGTATTGTAGTGCTGTAGTACTGTAGTGTTGTTGTACTTTAGTGCTGTAGTACTGTCATGCTGTAGTCTTGTAGTGCTGTAGTCCTGTAGTGCTGTAGTACTGTAGTGTTGCTGTATTGTAGTGCTGTAGTCCTGTAGTGCTGTAGTCCTGTAGTGCTATAGTACCGTAGTGCTGTAGTACTGTAATGCTGTAGTACTGTAGCGTTGTAGTGCTTTAGTCCTGTAGTGCTGTAGTACTGTAGTCCTGTAGTCCTGTAGTGCTGTTGTACTGTAATCCTGTAGTGCTGTAGTCCTGTAGTGCTGTAGTACTGTAGTTCTGTAGTACTGTATGGAGTTCAGCTGGTTATTTCAGTGCTGTAGTGCTTTATGGAGTTCAGCTGATTATTTCAGGGCTGTTGTGCTGTAGTTCTGCATGGACTTCAGCTGGTTATTTCAGTGCTGTAGTACTGTAGTGCTATAGTACTGTAGTCCTGTAGTGCTGTAATACTGTAATGCTGTAGTACCATAGTGCTGTAGTCCTGTAGTACTGTAGTGCTGTAGTACTGTGATGCTGTAGTCCTGTAGTACTGTAGTATTGTAGTGCTGTAGTACTGTAGTGTTGTTGTACTGTAGTGCTGTAGTACTGTAGTCCTGTGGTGCTGTAGTGCTGTAGTATTGCAGTGCTATATTCCTGTAGTGCTGTTATACTGTAGTGCTGTAGTGTTGTAGTACTGTGTTGCTGTAGTGCTGTATGGAGTTCAGCTGGTTATTTCAGTGTTGTAGTGCTTTAGTACTGTAATGCTGTATGGAGTGCAGCTGGTTATTTCAGTGCTGTAGTGCTGTAAACATGTAGTGCTGTAGTATTGCAGTGCTGTAGTGCTATACAGAGTACAGCTGGTTATTTCAGTACTGTAGTGTTGTAGTGCTGTATGGAGTTCAGCTGATTACTTCAGTGCTGTAGTGCTGTAGTACTGTAGTGCTGTAGTGCTGTATGGAGTTCAGCCAGTTATTTCAGTGCTGTAGTGCTGTAGTACTGTAATATTGTAGTTCTGTATGGAGTTCAGCTGGTTATTTCAGTGCTGTAGTGCTGTAGTACTGTAATATTGTAGTTCTGTATGGAGTTCAGCTGGTTATTTCAGTGCTGTAGTGCTGTAGTACTGTAGTGTTGTAGTTCTGTATGGAGTTCAGCTGGTTATTTCAGTGCTGTAGTGCTGTAGTACTGTAATATTGTAGTTCTGTATGGAGTTCAGCTGGTTATTTCAGTGTTGTAGTGCTGTAGTACTGTAGTGCTGTAGTTCTGTATGGAGTTCAGCTGGTTATTTCAGTGTTGTAGTGCTGTAGTACTGTAGTGTTGTAGTTCTGTATGGAGTTCAGCTGGTTATTTCAGTGTTGTAGTGCTGTAGTACTGTAGTGCTGTAGTTCTGTATGGAGTTCAGCTGGTTATTTCAGTGTTGTAGTGCTGTAGTACTGTAATATTGTAGTTCTTTATGGAGTTCAGCTGGTTATTTCAGTGCTGTAGTGCTGTAGTACTGTAGTGTTGTAGTTCTGTATGGAGTTCAGCTGGTTTTTTCAGTGCTGTAGTACTGTAGTACTGTAATATTGTAGTTCTGTATGGAGTTCAGCTGGTTATTTCAGTGTTGTAGTACTGTAGTGCTGTAGTTCTGTATGGAGTTCAGCTGGTTATTTCAGTGCTGTAGCACTGTAGTGTTGTAGTGCTGTATGGAGTTCAGCTGGTTATTTCAGTGTTGTAGTGCTTTAGTACTGTAATGCTGTATGGAGTGCAGCTGGTTATTTCAGTGCTGTAGTGCTGTAAACATGTAGTGCTGTAGTATTGCAGTGCTGTAGTGCTATACAGAGTACAGCTGGTTATTTCAGTACTGTAGTGTTGTAGTGCTGTATGGAGTTCAGCTGATTACTTCAGTGCTGTAGTGCTGTAGTACTGTAGTGCTGTAGTGCTGTATGGAGTTCAGCTGGTTATTTCAGTGCTGTAGTGCTGTAAACATGTAGTGCTGTAGTATTGCAGTGCTGTAGTGCTATACAGAGTACAGCTGGTTATTTCAGTACTGTAGTGTTGTAGTGCTGTATGGAGTTCAGCTGATTACTTCAGTGCTGTAGTGCTGTATGGAGTTCAGCCAGTTATTTCAGTGCTGTAGTGCTGTAGTACTGTAATATTGTAGTTCTGTATGGAGTTCAGCTGGTTATTTCAGTGTTGTAGTGCTGTAGTACTGTAGTGCTGTAGTTCTGTATGGAGTTCAGCTGGTTATTTCAGTGCTGTAGTGCTGTAGTACTGTAATATTGTAGTTCAGTATGGAGTTCAGCTGGTTATTTCAGTGTTGTAGTGCTGTAGTACTGTAGTGCTGTAGTTCTGTATGGAGTTCAGCTGGTTATTTCAGTGCTGTAGTGCTGTAGTACTGTAATATTGTAGTTCTGTATGGAGTTCAGCTGGTTATTTCAGTGTTGTAGTGCTGTAGTACTGTAGTGCTGTAGTTCTGTACGGAGTTCAGCTGGTTATTTCAGTGCTGTAGCGCTGTAGCACTGTAGTGTTGTAGTGCTGTATGGAGTTCAGCTGGTTATTTCAGTGTTGTAGTGCTGTATGGAGTTCAGCTGGTTATTTCAGTGTTGTAGTGCTGTATGGAGTTCAGCTGGTTATTTCAGCGCTGTTTCCGAGGCGCGCGCGCTCCCGGCGGTTTTTACGCTGGATTTTATTTATTTATATATATATGTTTTTTCTTCTCTTCTTCCTCTGCTCCAGCACTCATAAAGCGTGTGGGAGCGGCGCGGTGACTCCAGAGAGTCTGCAGGGGGAGGAGACACACCCTCAGCACAACTCACACACACACACACACACACACACACACACACACACACACATACACACACACACACACACACTCCACCCCACAACATCCCGCACGCGCCAGAAAATAAAGACCAACTCCAGTTCCAGTTACCCTCGAGCCCCAGCGTGGACTGAGTCTGCCTGTAACGCGCTGAACACCAGCGAACTTTTTCGTATCTGTAAATTCGCATGTTTTACAGTTATTCTTAGATTTGATCTTTAGTTTCTCTGCAGGATCTTATAGAAACACGTTCGTCAGTAATATCTAAGAGTTACATGCAATGATGTCAAAATTGAATGCACATGCTGGCACTGGCGCTGACGTCATTGTTTGCCCTCATTTGCCACCTTTTTCAATAAATAAGCATCAAACATAAACATAAATAATTCTTTTAATAAAAAAGACAGGAATAGCTTACTCTCTTAAAAATGTGCCACAAAGGGTTCTATCATAGAAGAACCATTATAGTTCCTTAAAGAACCATGTACCATGTACAGCCATGTACAATCACATTGTAAATGACGTGTGAGTGTGAAGAACCTTCACATAATGCAAAGTTGAAGGCTACTTCCTAGAGCATTTACATTATATGAGGTTCTTTAAACTTTAAAAAGGTTCTTCACACTCACAGGTCTCATTTACAAAAATGTTCCTTTTAAGAAACATCCATTAAAAGGTTCTTTAAACCCATTCTGGCACATTTATTTTCAAGAGTGGAGGAACCGGAAGAGAATATTATTGGTTGCATATGAAAAACCCCAATTTTGAACATTACAGTATTCATTCCTCATATTTAGAACGTGAGTTGTTTTTAGACAAAATCCAGGTTCACATCAAAATTCCTTTTTTTGTCGTTTTATTTTGAGTACAGGTTGTAAAAACAGCATGACAGATCCCTCTCCAGGCCTAATATAACGTAAGAAAATGTAGGCCTATGATGTTCGTAAAAAGTCTACCCGTTTCCTTCTTTTTTTCTCCTTTTTCTTTCTTTTTTTTTTAACTTGGCATGTGTGATATAAACAGTCCTGCGCACCACATGGACATGCCACTCCAGAAACGAACCAGAAAATGAACAACAAAACACAAAAACAAACAGCAAATAAATAAATAGAAAAATAATTTAATGTGCGTTGCATGTGTTGCACGTGCGCCCAAAAGTGGGCCACAAAAATGGCATAATAATAATAATAATAATAACAATAATAATAATAATAATAATAATAGTTTTCAAAATTCAAAGAAAATAAAGAAAACAAATTGAAAAGTTAAAAATTCAGCAGAATTCCAATTTACAATATTAAGAATAAAAAAATCTTGACAAAAATAATAGGGCTCCAGCAGCAGCGAGTGCTTGGACCCCTAATAATTGCGCATTTGGAAGTGAAGTGTAAAGTTTTGTCCATCCGCGCTTGTATCTGCGTACAAGTCCTTCACTGTCCCGCACCGGTGGTCAAAATAAAGCCCCCGCGCCCATGGCCTGGCTGGTCTGGTGCTGCGAGAGCGGCTGTAGGGGCTGTAAGTGCGTGTTCGTGCTGGAGTACCAGGGGTAGGTGCTGAGGAAGGCTGGAGCTGTGGTGTTGGGGGGCGCAGGCTCTGCGCTAGGGTCTCCGTCGCTTTGAGCCTGATGTGGGGGGAAATCCCAGGATGCCTGTGGTGGAGGAGGCGGCGAGGAGGCCGGAGGGGGGGAGTCACCCGAGGAAAGGTGCTGATCTGGGGGGATCTCCCCGTTTTTCCATAACTTTTTGAACTTGGAGCGGCGGTTTTGGAACCAGATTTTCACCTAGAGGAACGTTAAAAGGGGAGAGAAGAAAAATATGTGAGATGCGGTTGGAATCAGCGGTTTGGTGCATGTGAAAAAAGTGGAAAAGAAGCGGAGGTGGGTGGTAACTTGTTCCATTGACTCAGTTCCATGTGCTTAAACACGACTGTGATGGACGTTTCCGAGATTTCTAAAGAATTTACGCTTTTTACGCATTGTGTTCCTCCACGTTGACTTTGGGTTTGACTGCATTATGTTCTGCTGCCTCAGCATCTGGATGCACTGCTATGGCTTTTGAGCTTCAGTATTTCATGTCAGGGCAAAAAAACATCCGCAAAAATAAGAGAACACAGTCTAACAAACACCAGTTCCTGTGCTGATGAACGCTCAGCTGACAGACGCTCCACTGCAGTCCTTTTAAGTGTTTTTTGACCTGAGTACTTTTTTCCTTCCCTCAACTCGCTCTGACTTTTACTTCTACCTGAGTCATGGTCTCAGAGAGGCAGCGGCGCTCTTACTTCAGTCGGGCCGCCTAAAGTAAGAAGCTATTAGCACCAGTGGTGGTCTGGGTGGTCTAAAGGTGGATATTAAGGGTCTTGGACCCCACGTGGAGGAGTGGGAGTGTGCGCGCGCTCTCACCTGAGTCTGTGTGAGCCCCAGTGAGGCGGCCAGCTCGGCTCTCTCGGGCAGTGCCAGGTACTGGGTCTTCTGGAAGCGGCGCTGGAGCGCGGCCAGCTGGAAGCTCGAGTAGATGGTTCGCGGTTTCCGGACTTTCTTTGGCTTTCCGTTCACCATGCGCACCTCCGGCTCGCTCTCGTCTTTCTCTGACCAAATGCACACGTGGAATTTTCAGTCAGTCTCTCTCTCTCTCCCTCTCTCTCTCTCTCTCTCTCTCTCTCTATCTCATCTATATATATATATACATATATATATACATACATATTCATTAATATGTATGTATTCATCAAACATAAAGTTCATGTTTATATATATATATATATATATATATATATATATATATATATAATATATGTATACACATAAATAAAATGAAGTTAATGTCAATATTTTAGTTAAAAACTTTCAGTTGTCTATCTATCTATCTATCTATCTATCTATCTCTCTCTCTATACATATAAAAATATACATACATATATATATATATATATATATATATATATATATATATATATATATATATACAGAGAGAGAGAGAGAGAGAGAGAGAAAGAAACAGAGAGAGATATATAGATAGATAGATAGATAGATAGATAGATAGATAGATAGATAGATAGTAATTGAAGTTTATTGGTATTGTCTTGTTTAGACTGGCCATTGCTCTCCAGCGCACCCCCCTTACCTTACCTGGCTCCGTCGGAGTGGGTGAAGAGCTGGTTCCGTAGGTTCCGTAAGCTCCGTATGAAGAGCCCAGGCCCATGTCATACGCCTTTGGGCTGTAGTGGACGTTGCCCACTCCTGCGGGGTGGTAGGAGTAGGAGGTGAGGGGCGCGTAGGCTGCTGAGGCGCAGTGTCCAGACTGAGGGACGCTGTAAAAGGCGCCGTCACTGCCCGAGGACGCCGCTAACGTGGCCGTGTCCTGCGCCTTGTGCACGCTGCTGAAAGTGCTGGAGGTAATGTGGTTCGTGTGCATATCCGAGCCGAGGCTGTCCAGAACCGCGGTCATCCTGGGTGGGCTTGGAGTGGACAATTGTGTATTAAAGCGCGAGACTGCAACCCGATCGGTTCTGCGTTCGACGTGTGTGAGTGGACCCAAACTCTTCCTCGTGCACTAAACTTGCCAGCTATTTTGGTGATGAGTCTGTGGAGGTAGTTCACTGGAGTCCTTCCTGAAGTCTACTCTACTCTCTCTCGAGCTGGAGCTGTCTCCGCGAGGGCTGGTGGGCGGGGAATGTGACGCAATGTGGAGGGCAGGAACCAATGAGTACGCAGGCAGTCTTGTCTCAAGAAATCCTCTGGCAGTGGCTCAGTGTGTCCTACTATAGACTACTGTTCACACACACTACATCCAAAAGTTTTGTGGACACCTGCTGGTTCAGCGTTCCCTCTGAATTCAAAGAGTCAATGAGTTTTCAGCCTGCTGCAGTATCAGCCTCTACTCCTCTGAGAAGGCTTTACACTAGATGTTGGAGCATTGCTGTGAGGATTTGACTGCATTCGGCCACAAGAGCATTAGTGAGGTCAGGTATTGATGTTGGATGATCGGTTCTGGATCACTCCAACTCATCCCAAAGGTATTGGATGGAGCTCCATCACTCCAGAGAACACAGTTCCACTGCTCCACAGCCCATGTGCCAACCTTAGGTTCATGTGCAGCTGCTCCCGAGCATCCTATTCTATTGGTCAGTGCTTTTCTATGGAGATTGTATGAACACCTGTTTCAGCAATGTGTGACCTTATATTAAATTCACTAATAAGGAAGGGTGTCTGGATTCTTTTGGACATGCAGTGTTCAGTACTGTGCAAAGGTCAGATAGCATTTATTCAATTTCCAGTCAAAAAGGCCACTAAGTAAAAGTTATTCATTTTTAGGAGATCAAAAAATCTCAACGTAGTTTGAAATATGATCGAAAGATACAGAGAAAATGGGACTCCTAACAACCACCCGGAAGACCTGGTAGACCACCAACACTGTCCCAAACAGATAAACAGCACTTAAAGCTTCTGTCCCTCCTTCCACTGTGAGACGACAACTCAACACTATGAGTCTGAAAGGATGTGTAGCTGTTAAGAAGCTCTTACTGAGAAAAGGACACAGACTCATCAAACAAAGAAGCTGCTGGTGGTCTCAGAACAAGGGACTGACCACCCCAGAGTCCAGACCTCAACATCACGGAATGTGTTTGAGACTCTGCATCTGCAGATTTCTTTGAAAAACTTAAAGCAAGTCTCCTGAAAAGAATGGAAGCTGTGATAAAGGTAAAGAGTGGAAGCACTAAGTGCTGGACAAAATATTGTAATTATTTGTTGTGGCTTCTTTGTAATTTTCTGTTAAATTGAAGTTTTCTGCTTTTTTCCCTGATGCTGAAAAATGAACAACATCTCTTCATCTCAGACTTTTGCATAGCACTGTATGTCATTCATGGCCACATGAATATTTGCTTGAATATGTGAATTATGAAGTGTGAAGTTCAGATTTCTGTCATATTTAAGCAGCACATGAAGTGGAGAACAAGCTGATCAACAAAAGGTGAAATAAAAAACATTATACACTCTCAGAAATGAAGGTAGTAAACTGTCACTGGGTCAGGACCCCTCTTGTCACTGGGGTTTTCCCCTCAAGGGTTCATCTCAGTAACTAGTCAGGAAACATAATTGTACCATAATCTTTTGAAATGATATTTTTTAAGTTGTACTGACTCCACACACCCTGTCTCGTCTCCAGGCTTTTTATTTCATTGTTCCGTTTTAAAACATTAGGCTATGAAAAGGTAAAAATACTTTTCACCAGGAAAAAGCTTATTTAAAGTACACAAAGGACCACTGTTGTGCCTTTGAGGGAACGTGTACATTGTTTGTACAAAAAATGTACCTGCATAGCACCTTTATTTCTAACAGTGTAGTATTAGGTAGTGTGTACTGGCCTAGTTGGATTCAGGTAGGCGACTCTGGTCCATCAGATGATCTTATAAAAGACACTTTATTCCAGTTTTAGCTGATGTTTACTAGTGGGTTCTCTAAATGAGGAAAAGGCAATCATGTAAATAGGCTTATTAATAAGTCATTTTTATTGAGAAATTGTTTTTAAAACATGGCTTTATCATCAAGGGCCTACTAATTGTTTCCTAGACTACCAAACACACTGGACCTGGTGTCCCATGCCTGTAAGAACACTGTTTTGCATCTAACAGCCAGCTTTTGTCTAGGTTTTTATGTGTATTACTAAGACTAGGGCTGAATTACTCCTCAGTTAAGCAACCCACTGTCATACCATGATGATAATGAAGCAAAAAGTGCATAAATGTTCAATGGAAACGTCTATCAGATGACATAAACCTACGTCTTCAGGCATTAATCTTTGTTTGATCTGTCGCTTAGATCTGTAGTGACTCAGGAAACTGGATTACTCAGTTGTTGACAGCAGAATGCTGATTGTTATCTCTTAAGTTTAGCCTATATGTTAATCTGTCATCCACATTTGCTGCTACAATTCATGGATGACTACCGGACGAAAACACAAACATGGGCAAGATTTCTCAGTTTAGCCAGACGACTTAAGCCAAAAATCAAGCCTGTTCAGTAGCCGAATGGGAGAAGAGGTGTGGGACAGTTCTCTGTTTCCATGCAGCAGTTTTCCAGGAATTAAGTAATCCATCTTACTGAGACTAAGCTTAGACATCCTGCTTTATCTCCACCCATTCAAGTTTAAAGAAATCCTCCAACAGTGGTACAGTATGACATACTGTAGACTAGAGGTGGCCAATATGATGATATTTTATTGTTATCTTGATAAATTTTGTTATCATGTTATACCAACATGCTTTTCTGAGTTCTAATTACTACTTAAAGAATACTGACCAACTGCATTTTCATTAAAAAAGAATGTCCATGTTGTTGTGTAATGTATATCGTGAACATATCTGTAAGTATTATCATGATATGATATTTTTGCCATGTCACCCATCCCAACTATAGACTATTCCTCATATGTCATTCACTGCCTCATGGATATTTTTCCAGATAACTGAATTGTAAGTGAGAACTTTATTCTAAGCATCATACAAAGTGGAGAACCTTTTGGTCAACAAAAGACGAAATATAGTTTTATTATTATTACAGTTTAGTATCAAGTCGAGTGGATTCAGATGGGCTATTCTATCAGAAATTCCATCAAGAACGTCTCACATATTTGCTCTGATTTATGCGTTCTAAGGCATAAAACTTGATTGCACAAAGAATGTGCAAAGAGGAAAAGCTGAGCAACAATATGTGAAATAGAAGTATTAATTGCTATTTATTAAAAGTGAATTCCCCCAACTTTTCACAATGTCACTGATTTTTAAATCGTTAAACAAAGTCATTCAGAGTGGTTTGATGCGAAAGGCTCTATTCTAGAGAAACTCACAGACTCAGAATTGTTGGTGTCAGAACAGTGGTGGTGATAGGAACCAGACATCGAAAGTGTTTAATGCCTCTAAAAGCTCCCTCACAGAAATCTGTTGCATGAAGTGGTTCCAAGTACACTGTCTGATGTCTGATACATTGTTTTTGAGATTAGGTTTTGGCCTAAAACATATATTCTTAAATGCATTCATGGTGGAGATGCAAGGCAAGGCTTATTTTTTGGTTTACCACCACTTACCATTATCAAAATTACATGTAAAAACTCAGAAGGTGTGTAGGTTGACTGGTCATTTTGGATAGTGAATAATGGCTGTATTTGTGTTGTAGACATCATGTGCTATTTTTCACATCACAAGCAAAGTTAAGTTGGTAAGTGTTTCTACAATCAACCATTTCACATCAAACCACTCTGAAAGACTTTGTTCACATTTAATCCTGTGAATTATGAAGAATGTTTGAACAATCGGTTAAAGTCCACTTTAAATCTAAGGCAGACTAAGATTCTGGACCATCAGTAGATAGGACATACTTTTAGAAACTCTTGTTTACTTCATGTTCATTAGAGTATCCCGTCTGTAGATGGGTTATTTAAATGTAACGTCATTTTTAGTGGCACAATGAATAACAAAATGGCTTCATCATTCAGAGACAATGGTATGCATGTCCCATATGACCACCCCCTAGAAGTGGGATTGTATGGGGCTCTTAAGGGGCTCTTGTTTGACATTGCATTCCTTCGTGATGATTTTGTGTTCCCTTGCAATGACTTTGCCTTGTCTCGCAATGATTTTGGAATGTCTCATAATGATTTTGCGTTCCTTCACACTGATTTTTCTTTTCTCGCAATAATTTTGCATTCCCTCACAATGATTTTGCATTCTCTCGCAATAATTTTGCATTCCCTCACAATGGTTTTGCATTCTCTCTCAATAGTTTTGCATTCCCTCGCAATAATTTTCTGTTCTTTCACAATGATTTTGCATTGTCTTGCAATAATTTTGCATTCCCTCACAATGATTTTGCATTCTCTCACAATAATTTTGCATTCCCTCACAATGATTTTGCATTCTCTCGCAATAATTTTGCATTCTCTCACAATGATTTTGCATTCTCTCGCAATAATTTTGAATTCCCTCGCAATAATTTTCTGTTCTTTCACAATGATTTTGCATTGTCTTGCAATAATTTTGCATTCCCTCACAATGATTTTGCATTCTCTCACAATGATTTTGCATTCTCTCACAATAATTTTGCATTCCCTCACAATGATTTTGCATTCTCTCGCAATAATTTTGAATTCCCTCGCAATAATTTTCTGTTCTTTCACAATGATTTTGCATTCTCTCGTAATAATTTTGCATTGTCTCACAATAATTTTGCATCCCCTTGCAATGATTTTGCATTCTCTCGCAATAATTTTGCATTCTCTCACAATGATTTTGCATTCTCTCACAATAATTTTGCATTCTCTCACAATGATTTTGCATTCTCTCGCAATAATTTTGCATTCTCTCACAATGATTTTGCATTCTCTCACAATAATTTTGCATCCCCTTGCAATGATTTTGCATTCCCTCACAATGATTTTGCATTCCCTCACAATAATTTTGCATTCCCTCACAATGATTTTGCATTCTCTCACAATGATTTTGCATTCTCTTGCAGTATTTTTGCATCCCCTTGCAATACAACAAAAAATATTCTTTCGCAAAAATATTGCAAAAGAATGTAATCCCCTTCCAGATATTTCTTTTCACAATG